GCACATGTGGATGTCACTGTTCAAGTGACATCACAAGTCCTTCTGCCCCATAGAAAAGACTCTAAGGCCCCCATAAGCCCCAGGTCCTGTCCTGCCAACGGCACACAGGTCCTGGGGTGCCTGTGTTAACCAGAAGTGGGAAACGTGCTATTTCTATCCAGATAGCCAGGCCTCTTATAAGAGAGTAAAACCACAGGTGTTCCCTGGAGCCAGGGGCTGAGGTCAGCTCTACCAACCCAGAGTTGGAGGAAAACAGTTCTCTAAGAGAAAATCGGGAGTCTAACCAAGAACTAGAGCAGAGGGGCAGAACAGTATAGCGGTTTATTAAACACACACGGCTTTCTGCTTAACTGCTGAATAATTTAGACCGTTTTCCCTGCTCATCCTAACGCAGCCATCCATCACAGACTTACACGGTAGCTGTCCTGTCTCCAGAAGAAGCAAGCTCGCATCCTCATCCCGAAACACATCCAGCCGCACACAGTATTGTGCTGTGTCTGATGAAGTAGTAATCTAGTCTTCAGGGTCTTGCATCCAGAATAGGATGGGGAAGAAAACTGGATAGCTGAAAGAACAAAGTCACTACCCAGCTGGAGAGGGGAAGGGAGGGAAAACACCTATCCACAGCCCACATCTCTGATAGTAGCAAGGATTCTCTGATCCTGCAGTCTGCATCCTTAGTGCTCTGAGGCGATTTGTGAGCCAAGAACTGAAGCCTGCTTGGGCACGGAGAGGGCACAGTCTTAGGGGTCCGTCATGTGTTTTCCAGGCTTCTCTAGCAATACACTGGCCTTGATCATCAGGAGGGCTCTCTATCAACTCGCCTTCTTTATCCCCAGTACTCAAGGCCAGAGACCTCACTGGAAGTTGTAATTTTAGAATGGATTCCCTGATGGTGGTGGGGAGGGGGAATGAGAGTTGTCTCTTAGCAACAGGCTGCACTCTTCCTCCCATCACAGGAGCCCAGGCTTGGAAGGAGGGCTCTAGCCCGGGCCTCTGCCAATGGGCAATGCAGGTCCCTAGCTCCTTGGCCCCTGCCTACTCAAGCTGCATCCCCCCAACACACTCCAAAGACGGCTTATAATAGATGTTTCCATGGAGAGGACACAGGAGGGCCGAGTAGTCAGGAGCAGGCAGGCCCCAGGCCGCCCTCCCTCTGAGTTTCCCGCCTCCCTCTTTGCTTAAGTTCACTGTAGTTTAAAGCAGAGAACTGGCTCTTCATTATCTCTCAGCCATATTAGATTACTGGCCTCAGCAGAAGGCCCTCTCCAGACAAGCTATTTTCTCCTTCTGCTGTGAGCTCTGCCAAACCATAGTGGGTCTTGTTTGACTTTACTGAAAAGGCCCCAGGAAAGACCACAGCACCTAACAATGTCCTAACAGTTGTCTGCTAATGTAGCAGTCTTTGTGGGAGCATGGCCTTACCTCCAGGGGCTATGGATAACAGTTTAATCAGTGGGCTTGCTGTTGGGACAGAGTTGACCAACTTTTTGTTTCTTTGTATTTTGAGGCAAGGTCTTACTGTGTATGTAGTCTTGGCTGTCCAGGAGCTCACTAGGTAGACCAGTTGGCCTTGAACTCAGCTGAGATCTGCTCCTGAGTGCTGGGATTGAAGGTGTGCATCCACCAACTTTTGACTGGGGGTAAGGGAAGTGGTACTGTTTTATTTACACTCCCCTAGCTTAATTTCTTTCCTTGTTGCTATGACAACAAAAACAACTGACAACCGATGGCAGAGAGAGAACTGAAGTTCAGTGTGCTGTCCATCATGGTGGGGGAGTCAGGGAAGCAGGAGCCTGAAGCAGCTCTGCATTGTAGGATCAGGAAACAGAGGGCGTTGAGGGCAAGCTGCTGCTCAGTTCCTTTTCCGGGTGCTCACACGATCCCACAGAGAATGGTGCCAGCCACAGTGGGCAGTTTGTCTCACCCCAACAGCTGAAATCAAAACTCCCCAGAGGCCCATTTCCCAGATCATTCTAGATTCTGTGGAGGAGACAATACTAACCACCACAGGGTCAGGGAGATGACTCCGTGGGGAAGGTGCTTAGCAGGTAAAGAATATCACCACTCAGCCTGACAACCTAAGTTTGATTTTGGATCCCAGATGGTGGACGGAAAGAACTGACTCCCACAGGTTAACTTCTGGCCTCCAGATGTGTGCCACGGCACGATCATCCACCGTACACAAAATAAATGGATTAAACACAAAGGGAAAAAAAACCACTGACTACCACAGGGTCTATTACCTGAAAAAGGAAATCATCTTTATCTCTTAATTTCCCAGAGTTCCCCCCCCCCCGACTCCGGGTACAAAGAACACAGACCCAGTAAAAGTGTAAAAGAGGAGTTGACCATACGCTCCAGTCCACAAAGAGAGACTGACGAAGTGGGAAAGGAAGGCAGACGCCCCAAGATCAAAGCAGCATGCTGACAGGAGGAGGCTAGGCGCTAGGTGGCCATGGCAACAGATGGTTCTGTATATCCATGAGGAAATGGCAGAAGGCAAGCAGAACTCTCTGGAGCCCATTAGGAAGGAGAGGTAGAGCTGAGAGCAGCCTCAAGGTGTGAGTCAGTGGGAACAGAGGGAGGCCATAAAGAAGCTAGAATCAATTAAGAACAGAAAGGCACAGAACCCTGAGGAAAATCCACCCTGGACAATATCGAGGCAGCCTATAAAGATGGAATGGTTAGGCATCAGATGGCTGAGAAAGTGGGTGAAGTTCTTGATGACAACTGCATTGTCCTCAGAAGGTGCACCGTGCCTGAATTCAGAGTCAGTTAAAATAGGGAAGGTGGTGAGATACGTGAAGTCCCGGCGGGGGTGGGGTGGGGGGGTGAAAAGCCACAGGTGGGAGGCTAGGACAAGAGTTGAGAAGGATCCTGGGTATAAGAATGGGTGGGCTCCTTGTCAGGAAGGGTGTGAGAGGAAAGAATGTAGGGCCCTTGGAGGGAAGAGCAGAACACTCACTGGAGGAGGCGGTGCCTGAAATGGCGGGCATGGTAACAGTGCCATCTACAGCATCATAGGTAGGTGAGCATCTTGGTCCCTACAACTGAGTTCTAATGAATCTGCCTGCATGGTGGATGTGGTCTTTAGAAGACGAAGATGAAACATCTGTTTGAGAATCTTCTAGGATGTCACATACATGAACTGGGGTATGTGGGATACCCCAAGGTTCATATACATGTCTTGATGATTGTATCCACGCAGGCATGTAAAAACACAACCCCCACAGAACACTCTCTACAGCACACAAGGTTCCTTCCCGCCCCTTCCCAATTCACTAGAGACATAAGCCTTTATTCTGACTTGCATTGCTATTAGTTTTGTCTGTTCTTGCCTTCCAACTCTGGAATCTTGCAGTATGTTCTTTTTGGCTTCCTTCCCATAATACTAAACATATTCATCTGTTGTTATGGATACTGCTTCCTTTCTTACTACAGAGCAGCAGTCCATTATGAATATACAATCAATCCATTCTACTATTCTCTTGTTTGGGATCTTCTTAATTCTGCGACAATCCTCATTTGACAATTCGCTTGCCTTGGCCTGCTGAGTGCGGGGATTACAGATATTATGCTACCAAACCTGAATCCCAGTCTGCTATTGAAGAATGCTTGGGCACTTTTTTGTAGGTTGGCAATCATTGTAATTAAAATTATTTCTTGAAAGCCAGGTGGTGGTGGTGCATACCTCTAATCCCAGCACTCGGGAGGCAGAGACAGGTGGATCTCTGTGAGTTCAAGACCAGCCTGGTCTACAAGAGCTAGTTCCGGGACAAGCTCCAAAGCTATAGAGAGGGGCTGGAGAGATGGCTCAGAGGTTTAGAGCATTGCCTGCTCTTCCAAAGGTCCTGAGTTCAATTCCCAGCAACCACATGGTGGCTCACAACCATCTGTAATGGGGTAGGGTGCCCTCTTCTGGCATGCAGGCATACACACAGACAGAATATTGTATACATAATAAATAAATAAATATTTAAAAAAAGCTATAGAGAAACCCTGTCTCGGGAAAATTTTTTAATTAATTAATTAATTTACTTATTTATTTATTTTTGAGACAGAGTTTCTCTGTGTTGCCCTGACTGCCTCCCAAGTGCTCGAATTAAAGGCCTGTGTCACCACTGCCCGGCTCCTTTAATAATTTTTTTAAAAAATAATTCCTTCAAGCCAGGCACAGTGACTCATGCCTGTAACCCCAGCACTAGAAAGGCTAAGAAAAGCAAATTCCTGAAAGTCTGCAGCCAGCCTGAGTTACGTTGTGAGTTCCAGGCCGGGAAGTCTAGGGACTGAAACTCTTTCTTAATCAATCAACAAACAACTTTGTAACAACAGTAATAATTCATTTTTGCTTCCATGAGGCAGAGTCTTAAAGTAGATGAGGCTAGCCTGGTCCTCTCTATGTAGATGAGGATAATCCTGAAGGTCTCCTTGGCTTCACCTCCCAAGTGCTGGGATTAGAAGCAACTGTTCCATTGACGAGCTTTTTTTTAAAAAAAAAATCAAACATTCTTTAAAAATTTTAAAAAATGGTTTGTTTTGTGTGTATGAGTGTTTTGCCTGCATGTGCATCATGTACTTGCCTGCTGCCAGGGAAACTAGAAGAAGGCAACAGATCCCCTGGAACTGGAATTACAATGGCTACGAACAATTAATTATGTTCTGGGAACCAAACCCAGGTACTCTACAAAAGCAACAAGTGCTCTTAACTGCGAAGCCATCTCTCCAACCTTCCAAAACAGTCTTAATTTTAATAATAATAATAATAATAAATCTAGGCCTAGTAATCTCAGCACTTGGAAGGCAAGAGCTCAGCCTGGGCTACACCTGGAGTACCATATAGTCCCTTCACTTCGGGGGAGGTCACACTCTCATGCCTAGGTCCCAGAGCCCTCCACCCTAGCTACATCCATGGAACCAGGGTACAGGATTACTGAACCTGGAAGAGGCGGGTAGGAGCGCGGCTAGCAGGCTGCTGAGCCTCACTTTTTCTCTTCTAGCCTCCCCAGGCCCTGGCTGTTGGTGACCAGAGCCGTCCTGATCCCGCAGGCCGGGCCGGGCCCATCAGCGGCCCCCCATGAGCGCGCCCGGCTGACCGGTGAGGCGGCCGCGGTGGAGCCGGCGTGCCCAGAGGGCGGCGGGGCCATGGCCTCGCTGGACCTACCTTACAGATGCCCACGATGCGGGGAGCATAAGCGCTTCCGGAGTCTGTCGTCGCTGCGCGCGCACCTGGAATACAGCCACACCTACGAGACGCTCTACATTCTCTCCAAGACGAACAGTATCTGCGACGGCGCGGCCGCTGCAGCTGCAGCTGCTGCAGCAGCCTCCGGTTTCCCGCTGGCACCAGAGCCCGCTGCCCTGCTGGCGGTGCCCGGAGCCCGGCGCGAGGTCTTCGAGAGCACGTCCTTCCAGGGCAAGGAGCAGGCGGCAGGATCGGCGCCCGCGGGGCCACATCTGCTGCACCATCATCACCACCACGCACCGCTGGCTCACTTCCCCAGCGACCTGGTGCCCGCCAGCCTTCCCTGTGAGGAGCTGGCCGAGCCAGGACTAGTGCCTGCCGCGCGCTATGCGCTACGCGAGATCGAAATTCCACTCGGTGAGCTGTTCGCGCGCAAGTCCGTGGCATCCTCGGCCTGTTCGACGCCGCCACCCGGGCCCGGCCCTGGTCCTTGTTCCGGGCCCGCCTCCGCATCACCGGCGTCGCCATCGCCTGCCGATGTAGCCTACGAAGAAGGCTTGGCACGCCTCAAAATCCGCGCGCTGGAGAAGCTGGAGGTGGACCGGAGACTGGAGCGGCTGAGCGAGGAGGTGGAGCAGAAGATCGCAGGCCAGGTGGGCCGGCTACAGGCCGAGCTGGAGCGCAAGGCCGCGGAGTTGGAGACTGCGCGACAGGAGAGTGCTCGGCTGGGACGCGAAAAGGAGGAGCTGGAGGAGCGCGCGTCTGAGCTCTCGCGCCAGGTGGACGTGAGCGTGGAGCTGCTGGCCTCGCTTAAGCAGGACCTGGTGCATAAGGAACAGGAGCTGAGCCGCAAGCAGCAGTGAGTAGACTCTGGGGGTCCCGTGGGAAGGTGGATGTTATTCCCGCACGTGTCTGGGGTGTCTCCATGGAGTCAAGCTTTGGAACATAAGTTCTGAGTCTGTAATGGTGGGTTCTGTGCCAGTGGGTTCGAGTGTGTTATGATTTGGGACCCCAGAGTACGTGTGTTTCTTCATCTCCGATAGCCAGCCCAGGCAGCTCTTGCATTTTGGTACCAGAACTTCCCTTTAACCTACTCAAAGAAATGGCCTAGCTCTCCATGTCATCTTGTACTTTGTAAAAGCATGCAGACACAGTTGCATTGCTCCCTGGTATGGTAAACCTGCTTCCTTCCACCTCCTTGCTCTTGCCTTTTTTTGGGGGGGGGGGGGAGGAGGGGAGTTCGAGACAGGGTTTCTCTGTAGCTTTGGAATCTGTCCTGGAACTAGCTCTTGTAGACCAGGCTGGCCTTGAACTCACAAGAGATCCATGCCTGCCTCTGCCTCCCGAGTGCTGGAATTAAAGGCGTGCGCCACTACCACCCGGCTGCTCTTGGCTTCTTGAAGGACTTTCTTGTATTTCTGGTTCTCCCTTGAACCTTCCCTCTGGGGTCAGGTTGCCACCTCCAGGACTGTCAAACTTCGTGTTCATCGCAGTCCTGGATCCAGCTACACCGTATCTGGCTATGTAGCCTTTGAACTCATGATCCTCCTGCCTCAGCCTCAAGCATTCTGGTATTATTGCCGTGTGCCACGTTTAGCCTTCCTCTACTCAGCCGTCTTTATTGGCCACCTCTTTGCTTCTCTGCTCTGCAAATGGAGCCTTACAAACTCCACGGAGTCAGATGTGGTGTTTGTCCTCATTGCCATGTAAGTTCTGTGCGGGCAGGGATTTCCTTTTTTTGTTCAATAGTGTTTCCCCAGTATCTTGAACAGTGCCCGGCACCTTGATTAACTCTTTAACGAATGCACAAATGTGGGTAACTGTGAGGGTGCTGTGTGTTTATGTACCCCTCAGATGCTGGGGCAAACTATAAGAGTGCATTATGTTTCTCTCTGTGTTGATGTGACTCCATGCATTTTAATACTTCTGAGAGTACATGCATGTGTTCGATTGGGTCAGTAGGCTTGGTACGTGTGTGTGTTCGATTGGGTTGGTAGGCTTGAGTCTCCATGCTTCTTAATGTATTTCAGAGTATGAGTGTGCCGTGAGAGTGGACATGATTGCCTACATAGGAACATGCCGGGGGCTGTGTATTGGGCCGAGTGAGGACATGTCTTCACAGCTATGAGGCTGTCAGTTTGTGCCTGGATTTGTGTATTGAGACCACAGGGAACTGAGGCTGTCTGCTTTTGCCTGTGGTACTCTTCACGTGCCTGGAGGTGACTGTGCAGGTCAAGCCTGCCCGTGGCTATGTCTTTGGAGACCTGGTGTATTTAGTTACTTTCCTCACTACTGTGACACAATACCTGATGTAGATTAAAGGGCTGCCAGTTTGTTCCCTGGGTCCCATAAGGAAGGAGGGAACCGACTCCTTCACGTCATCCTCAGCCCCTGGACGTCTGTTGGAGCAGTTTTGGTTAAATTTTTGTTTTAGACTTACAGTATTTTGTGTGTGTATGAGTATTGTGCTTGAATGTATGGCCTCTAGTGCCTACAGAGGTCAGAATAGGGTGTCAGATCCCCTGAAAATGGAGTGGTTGTGAGCCAGTATATGGGTGTTGGGGACCAAACTCAGGTCTTGTGCGAGACTTAACAAGTGGCTGAGTGATCTCTCCTGCCACATGTATAAAATTACATTTTTTTTTTTTAAAAAAAGCAACTTGAAGGAAAGCAGGGCTTACTTCAGTTCACTGTTTGGGGAGACAATCATGGCAGGAAGGGTGTGGTCTCACAAGTATGGGGCAGCTGGATAAGGATTATCTATAGCTAGGAAACAGAGCCATGGAAGCTGCCACCCCAGCTTGCTTTCTACTTTGTATTCAGTCTGGGACCCGGCCCATGGAATGGTGGATCTTTGCACCTCGGTTAACCCAGTCTAGATGCGTCCTCACAGATGTGCCCAGAGGTTTGTCTCCTGGGTGATTCCAGATCCTGTCAAGTTGATGGCAGTATTAACAGGGGTATCCAGTTGTGTGTGTTCTGCGCGTGTGGAGACTTGTGTGTCTGCTTGTTTGTGTTGTGTGTGTGTGTGTGTGCCATTGTGTGGACCTGAGTGCTGGGCATTGTCCACGGGACCACGAGCAGACACTCTAGGCCACTGCCTGACTTTCTTCCGATGAGAGGTTTGAGGGCAGTCAAGCCAGGGGCCTGCTGGGTAAGAGACTGCTCCCGGCCCAGGGAGGTGGTGCAGATTGACCAGTTCCTGAAGGAGACAGCAGCTCGGGAGGCCAGTGCCAAGCTGCGGCTGCAACAGTTCATTGAGGAGCTCCTGGAGCGCGCAGACAGGGCTGAGCGGCAGCTGCAGGTCATCAGCAGCAGCTGTGGCAGCACACCCAGTGCCAGCCTGGGCCGAGGAGGTGGGGGCAGCGCCTCAGGGCCTGGGGCGAGAGGCCCAGGCAGAACGGTGAGTGTGTACATGCCCTGCCTCTCACCTGCTCGTGTGGTCCCCACAGCCTTCCCCCACACCACCCCAACTTCCCTCCTTTGCCTGTCCCCCCAGGAGCAACCCCAGGCCTGAAGTGGGAGGGCGGTCCACCCTGACAGGGCGGGAGTGCCGGCTCTGAGGCCTCGGCAAGGCTGCTTCCATAGACTCAGCTTTCAGAAGCCCCTCTCTGTACTTCTCTGTGAATGAGAGCCTAGGAGCCACAAGCTGGGCCCTGGGAGGCTGGGTGGGTGCATTGGGAGGGATTTGGGAGCCTGCCTGTCTGGACTGTCTGTCTGTCCATTCGTCCATCTTTCCCAACTTTATTCTTCTCTCTCCTCTCCTTCTTTTCTTCTCTCCATCTTCCTCTTTCTCCTACTATCGCCTTCTTCTCTGGCCTCCTCTGCCCATCCTTCCTCTCCCTTCCACTCTGGGGGCTACAGCGAGAACACCATGCAGGCCCAGCTGTGCCAAGCACATACGCTGTATCTCGGCATGGCTCCTCTCCCAGCACAGGGTAAGCCTCGGGCTTGGCCCACCCCACACAGCCTCCCCTCACCCTGGAAGGTTTGCTGGCCCATCAGAGGCTCACCTCCTTCTGTGTCCACCCCCCTGGTGTTACCAGTCTGCCTTTCCATGCTCAGGGGACTTTTGGAAAGCAAACAGTGGGCTCCCCTTGGCTGGTGGTGAGGAAAACGTTGGGAGTCGGGGCAGCCTTGTATCCCTCAGCCTTCACTGTGCACTCCCCACCCACCCCAGGGCCTCCAGCCGTGTGCCAGCTGCATCCCAGAGCTCAGGCTGCTATGACAGTGACAGTCTGGAGCTGCCCCGGACAGAGGAAGGGCCCTCGGAGGACAGTGGCCCTGGGGGCTTGGGTTCACGGGCCCAGGCTACCAACGGTGGTTCAGAGCGGTCCCAGCCCCCTCGTAGTTCAGGCCTGCGACGACAGGCCATCCAGAACTGGCAGCGCCGACCGCGCCGTCACAGCACCGAGGGGGAGGAGGGTGACGTCTCAGATGTGGGCTCCCGAACCACTGAGTCAGAGGCTGAGGGCCCCTCCGATGTTCCACGCCCTGGACCATCTCTGGCTGGGCCCTTGAACAGCTGCCGGCTCTCAGGTAAGACCTGGGAAAGTGGGTAGAGAATCCAGCCTTCCAGGGTGCTGGGTTGCCTCAGGGGATACAGAATGGAAATGGTGACTCTTGGCTCTATACCTCCCTTACTCTTGTCTGCCTATAAAGTACTCTTCAAGCTTGGAGCGGGCCTGCAATGACCCAAGGATGCTCACTCAATGGGGTGTGTGTACACAGTGGTCTGTGTACACGGTGGTCTGTGTGCACGGTGATCTGTGTACACGGTGGTCTGTGTGCACGGTGGTCTGTGTGCACGGTGGTCTGTGTGCACGGTGGTCTGTGTGCACGGTGGTCTGTGTGCACGGTGGTCTGTGTGCACGGTGGTCTGTGGTCTGTGTACACGGTGGTCTGTGTGCACGGTGGTCTGTGTGCACGGTGGTCTGTGTGCACGGTGGTCTGTGTGCACGGTGGTCTGTGTGCACGGTGGTCTGTGTGCACGGTGGTCTGTGTGCACGGTGGTCTGTGTGCACGGTGGTCTGTGTGCACGGTGGGTTCCATCACAGGTAGAGGAGAAGAGCTGCTTATTCTGGGCTCTGAAGTGCCTGCCACAGAGCAAGAGTTTGGGGGAGTAGCCCTGTATTTGTGTGGAAGGCTTAGAGGGTTAGAGTCGGGTGACCCTCCAAAGGAAAGTTTAGGGCTGGGGAGGTCGTTCAGTTAGGACAGTGCTTATCTAGACTCCATGAAGCCCTGGCTTTGATACCTAGCATCTCAAACTGGACGTGGCGGTCCATATCCCCCATCCTAGTACTCCGACAGCAGGTGCAGGATAATCAGGAGTGGCAGGTCATCCTGGGCTACCTCGTGAGTTCAAGGCTAGGCTGAAATACACGAGACCGTGTCTGAAAAGGGTTTTGGTGTGTGGCAAAGCAACAGATAACCCTTTTCCAATGAGTAAAATTTGGGGGTACTGTAGCGAAGGGGAAAGCAGAGGCCCTGTTGTCCTCCCTGGGAGCTGGTCCCCAATGTGGGTCTCACACTCATTCCTCCTGCCAGCTCCTGCACTGCCCCAGCTCCCCACCCCCAGCTCTGTACTGACTGGCCTTTTACTCTCCCATCTCCTTCGGCCCTGGTGTTCTGCAGCCCGCCCTGAGGGAGGCAGCGGACGGGCCCGGCGTGTGGAGAGAGGTAGCCCCTCACGCTCCAATGAGGTCATCAGCCCAGAAATCCTCAAGATGCGTGCTGCCCTCTTCTGTATCTTCACCTACCTGGATACCCGTACCCTGCTGCATGCTGCAGAGGTCTGCCGGGACTGGCGCTTCGTGGCTCGCCATCCCGCCGTCTGGACGAGGGTGCTGCTTGAGAACGCCCGAGTCTGTTCCAAGGTGCCTGCCCCTGCCCTCCAGCAGTAAAAGTCTAGTCCTTGTAACCCTCACTGCCCTGGTTCCCCAAACGCTCTCATGGTGCCTCCTACTCAGGGCTAACCCACCACATGGCAGTCAGGTCTATGTTCATATCGCTTGATCTTCCCCAGTTCCTGGCGATGTTGGCTCAGTGGTGCACCCAGGCCCACTCATTAACGTTACAGAACCTGAAGCCCCGACAGCGGGGAAAGAAGGAAAGCAAGGAGGAATATGCCCGCAGCACCCGGTGAGGCCTGCAGTGGGGTGGGGAGTGGGTGAGTGAGTGCTCCTGAGTTTTAAATGGAGATGCTTCCCACATGAGGAAGTGACCACCAGCAGTGTCTTGACCTCTTTGCTCATCCTCAGGGGCTGTCTTGAAGCGGGACTGGAGTCCCTGCTGAAGGCAGCCGGTGGGAATCTGCTGATCCTGCGCATCTCCCACTGTCCCAACATCCTCACCGACCGGTCACTCTGGCTGGCCAGCTGCTACTGCCGTGCCCTGCAGGCTGTCACCTACAGGTGGGTCACACCGTCTGGGCCTTGGTCCCTAGCTACCACATGGTCCTGCCTCTAGGTGGGAACAGAGACCGCTAAGATGGGTCACCAGCGCTTTGGCTTTTTCCCAGGAGTGCCACAGACCCTGTGGGCCATGAGGTGATCTGGGCCCTGGGTGCAGGCTGCAGAGAGATTGTCTCCCTCCAGGTGGCGCCACTTCATCCCTGGTAAGCCCAGGCAAGAGGGTGGTTTGGGAGGGGACAGCAGGGGACCCGGTCTGGGACCGAGGACTGACAAGTCAGCTGTTGGGGACAGATTACACACAGTTGGTCAGTGTGTTGGATCATAAGGAGCAGGGCCGTAATATGGGAGTTGGAGCCTCTCTCTGGCTTGCTGCCGGTGCCACTTCAGTCTTTTCGTTAGGTATGTGGGGTGGGAATCGGGTATCTGCATGGAGGTCAGGGGACAACTTCCACGTGTGAGTCTCACATGTGGTAAACACCTTTAACTTCTGAGCATCCTGGCAGCCCCGCGTTGCCACTCAGGCCTTAGTCTTGCGGCTTAGATTATGAGAGCCATGACTGGCTCAACGATGTACTGTCCACGGAGACTGTAAAGTTCATGGTATGTGTGCAGTCAACACTAGCCTGACGTAGGCTAAGCAGGTCAGGGAAGTCAGTAAATACGACACAGAGAAAGCTGGGTGTGGTGTCAGACACCTGCCATCTGAGACCTGTGTGAGCAATGTAGCAGGATCCCATCTCAAAGCAAGAACAAATCGGTTGGTGGTGGTGACCCCAGGATATGTGTGAATCATCCCTCGTTCTACTCTGGACGTCCTCAGATTCCCAGGCTTCTCTGCCCTGCTCCTTACCCTCCCAGTGATCTCCCTCTATGCCAGCTCCTCCCAGGCTCTCTAGTGTGCTTTCTCTTATACCCTGGTGGAGTCTGTCATTGTGGTCCCCTACTTGGCCCCCACTGCCCCTCACCTTGACCGTAATATCCATTTCTACTTCAGGCTCCTGTACTAAACTTGGTTACCAGGGCAGAATCTACAAATGCCCATTTCTGTGTCCTTGCTACCACGAGCATATCAGATGACAGATACTATTGCCTGAATGGATGTCGAGGGATGAACCTGGGTGTGAGTAGGGCAGGCAAGCCAGCAATGATGGAAAGGCAGGCTGGGAATGATCATGAGGCCTTCCTAGAAGATGCAGATTGGTGCATCATATCTAGAAAGTACTAGGAAGCTATTGGGGAGATGTCAGTTCTAAGAAGGGTGTCTTGAGCCAGATATGGTGGTACACAGTCATCCCAGCTCTTGGGAAGTAGAAACAAGAGGATCAGGAGTTCAAGGTCATCCTCAGTTTAGAGTTTGAAGTCACTCTAAACAAACGAACAAAAACAATAAGGATACCAGAAGTTAGGTGTGGTCTGTCATCTCAGCCCTTCGGAGGCTGAGGCAGGATTGCTACAAGTTCAAGGCTAGGTGGCAGGGGCAGATTAAAGTCAGAATACTAAATGTTGTATGTCATGGACTGTCTGTGCTTTGAGGGTGGGAGCTGTCTTCATTGTCACCCTGAACTCTAGAGCCTGGCTCAGTTCTCTCAGCTGTAAGAGACACTTGATTGCTACCTGATGAGTATCTGGCACCAGTTTCAGGGTGCATGGAGACCGGGGTGGGGCTCTGGTCTACGGCTCTTTCTGGGTGACTCCAGAATCCGAAGCTGTCAGGTGTGGTAAGAGGGGAGGGGGCAGAGTCAGAGATGAGCTGTCTTCTGACTTGAACAGCTGGACTGTTGGCAAGGTGCTTGCCTGAGCATGGAAAGGGACCTCCGGGGATGATCACCTTTGGGACTGCAAAGCCTCCCTGACCACTCTTCACTGTCTGTTCTTCAGCCAACAGCCCACTCGGTTCAGCAACCGTTGCCTGCAGATGATTGGACGTTGTTGGCCCCACCTCCGGGCCCTGGGTGTAGGTGGTGCCGGCTGTGGGGTACAGGGCCTGGCATCACTCGGTGAGTCTTTCCTTGGGGTTGGAGTGGGTAGGTAAGAAGCAGGCAAGCGTGAAATCCCACCAGAGTTAGGGGCTGCAGCCTGGGGCATGGTGAGGGACTGAGTCCTGGGCAGGAGGTGGGCCAGAGAGTTTGTCACCAGGCTTCTCTTCTTCCTCTCCTAGCAAGAAACTGCATGCGGCTACAGGTCCTAGAACTGGACCACGTGTCAGAGATTACCCAGGAGGTGGCGGCTGAGGTGTGCCGGGAAGGCCTGAAGGGACTGGAGATGCTGGTGCTCACAGCCACCCCTGTCACCCCTAAGGCCCTGCTACATTTTAACAGTGAGCAATGGGAGTTTGGGGGTAGAGAGCAGGGTGTAGCTACAGCCTATCCTTGGACACTCCTTGAACATTTTGTAACACTGAGTGAACTTTTCCTGGAGACAAACAGTTGCCTGTTCCTCCTGGAGAGGGCACCTATGATGTACCAGATGGTGCCACCAGAGTCCAACTTGGTGAACGTGGAGTTTATGACTTATTTACAGAGCATGGGTGAGAGTTACTTACAGAGCGTAGTTATTGCAAAGTAACGATACCACTCAAAAGTCTTCGCACAGAAGACAGCTCCCTCATAGCTGCGTGGGTAGAGCTCGCTCAGTCTAATGCCTCCAAGTGCAGCGGGGAGCAAAATTGCACACATCTGGCAGAGATGGGGAGGAGGGAACAGCTGATAGCCCAGGTGAGGGTCTGTCTGGAGACTCTCCAATTCTTCTATGAGGGAAAACCAACAAGACCGGTCTTGAGGGTCCTCCGATGAAATGGTAAGGGCTGCTCCAGCCTCTTCTACAAGCAGGCAGTGTGTTTCCTGTTGCTCTAGCCAGCACGTGCTGGTGCTGAGGCAGACAGAGCAGCGTTCTCCCTGGCTCGTTCAGCATCCAAGGCAGGGATGGAACTCCAGCCCTAGCAGCATTTAATCAACTGTTTAGCTGCACACGATAGCTGTTGTTTCATGCTGGCCCACAGTGGCACCGTGAGTTGTGTGTGTGGTGCCAGTAATTCCTGTGTGAGCCTCCCACCAGGGCAGAGAGCAGACAAGCAAAGAGCACCAAGGGTCTCTGTGCTGCTCTCCAGCGTGTTACTTTGCTTTGTGAATTCTGCAATCTCATTTTTTGACCTTCTAGATGGTAAAGGACACAGTATGTTTAAGTCCTCAGGGACATTTCTTGGGGTAAGGACTTCCCTCTGACTCCTCTGCTGTCCACATCATCCCATCTACTCGGTCATTCCTCTGCCTTCACTGTGGACCACCACTCAGGACCACTGGCCTCTGGGAGGTCTCCATGCAGACTGACGGTTTCTTTTTTTTTTTCCCCCACCAGTACTGGGATTAAACCCAGTGCTTTAAATACTGTACTGCAAAGATGTGTGCCCCCCCCCCCGACTTATGACACAAGGTCTGTCTACAATGTCTTGGCTGGACTGGAACTCACTATGTAGATCAGGCTGGCCTTGAACTCATAGATATCTGCCTACCTTGTATCCCACTGCTGGGATTGAAGGCAAGCACCACTATGCCTGGACTTTTTTTCATTTTTATTTTGAAACAGTTTCACTAAGCTGTCCAGGCTGGCCTTGAACTTAATGGTCCCCTTTCCTCAGCTTCTTGAGTAGCTGGGCCACCATACCTGTTTCTTTGATCACATCACCGCCTGAGCCCTCCTATTTACCTTCCTTCAGCCTCAGCCTCATATGCACCAGAACTCACTACTCAGTCCCCCAGATCGTGCTTTCTAGGTCCCTCCTAGCCCCTGACCTTGTGCCACCTCTTCCTGATAGCATGGCCAATAATTGTTGAAGCCCTTGCTTCAGGAAGGCCTGATGGCCTCCGCCAGCCCACCCAGTCTTCAGGAAGGCCTGATGGCCTCCACCCGCCCCACCCAGCCTTCAGGAAGGCCTGATGGCCTCCACCAGCCCACCCAATCTCAGTTGAGCAGCCGTTGTTTGCAGGTGCCCAGGTCATGAGCTTTCCCCTCTGCCAGAGTTGCTAGCGCACTGAAGAGCTTGCGCTCACACACGTGTCCCAAATGTCCTCCCGCCTTAAGATATGATCAGCTGCAGCCAGCACAGGTCTGCCGCTCGTGCTCTTGTGGCTGGCTGGTGTATGTTTCTCAGGGGCTCTGATTTCATTCATGAGCGGAAACTTGCAGCCCACTGCCCTTGCCGAGCACTAACCCCTATTTGCCTTCACCCAGGCATCTGCCGGAACCTCAAATCCATTGTGGTGCAGATTGGGATTGCTGATTACTTCAAAGAACCCAGCAGCCCCGAGGCCCAGAAGCTGTTTGAGGATATGGTAACAAAACTCCAGGTGAGGTGGGCTCTGAGGCCACAAAAGACCCCTTGGCTGGGGCTGGTGAGGGTGGCAGTACTTCACCTCCCCAACACCAAGGAAGAGCTAACCTAAGGCTCTATTTATAGGCTCTACGAAGGAGGCCTGGCTTCTCCAAGATTCTGCACGTCAAGGTGGAAGGTGGCTGCTAACCCGGGTGAGGGGCTGCAGGGCCCCTGCCAGCCCCACACCAAGGCACTCTTTGGACCTCTGGAGGGGCCCTGGCTTGGACTAGACCTTGGGAGGTCTAGTGTCACACCAGGTTCCAGACAGCGGTTGAGTACCCCATCCAATTCAAACAGCAAAGTGACAGGTGACCAGCACCGCCTCCCCAGGGAAAGGCTTGGACAGAAGCTGCCCCGAGACCCCCATGACATCCCCAGCTGGAGCAGCCTTCTGGCACAGCCAGCAGGGAGCTCCTGGTTGTCACCACCACTCAGAGGATCTGCAGTATCCACCCAGCAGCTCCTCAGCTGCTCAGGCAGGTCTCCTTCCTGAGGCCAGCGGAGCTCTTGTCAGGCCACGGGCCAGAAGGAGCTTAAGGCAGCTCAGACATGGCTAAGAAGACACTTGGTCACTCCCTTCAGACAGCAGGACCAGGTCCACATTCTCCAGTGATAACCCAGGCAAGCCTAGGAACCCAGGTAGAAGGTTAGAGGAAAGTCGGGGCAGGGCCATAGGGATGAGTTTGAAAGGGTAAAAAAAAATGTCTACAACTCCCCAGGATGAGGCCCACATCTTCCTGGCAGGTAAAGGACTGGCCAGCTGGAGGAGACTACTGTTAAGACAGAGTTCTCATTAACACACCCAGAACTAAGTTTAAAGCAGTCCCTATACCTACCACTCCCTGCTGAGGGACCACAGAGGGAGGAAGGGGGCTTGGGCCCCCTGCTGGGCTGGGGCTTAAGGGGGAAAGGAGGCCTGATTTATCTAACAGCTTACTTCAGGCCAGAAGTGAGGCACTGGTGCCAAGGCAGAGGAAAGAATTTCCACAGTCCATCTTCCTGAGTCTTTACAGCCCTGGGCCGAGACTACAGAGTACTTGGGGCAGGGTGTCCCAGCCCTTGCACCATACCCAGAAGTCTTGGAGCATCCCCAAGCGAGTTCCTCCTCTCACGGTGACCGAGGCTTGAGTCTTGGCAACCCTCATTTGGGCAAATCTTTCAAGTAACAGATGCCTGACCTCTTGTCCAAATCTTAGGGTTTTCTTTGCTCCTGTACAAGGTTGGATCCTCTGGTCAGCTTTCTACAGCCGTGCCACAAGCTGGCCTGAGCATGAACCCTGCCGTGGGTTGCCGCCTACCAAGTCCCTTCCATTGCTGTACACCCTCCTGCTCAGTGCTCCCAGATCTCACAGCTCTGCCTGTTTGTCATCATCACTGAGCTGTGGCTTGTTCTGTTGCTGTTCTGTGAAGACTGGAATGCCAAGGCTGTCATGCTGGATACTCCATGCCTAGTCCTGCATGAAACCTTGGCTGTGGTGTCTACACCCCTACCTCTCACAGCTGCCTCCCAAGCCCTGTCCCCAGGAGTCACAGGCAACAGCACAACTTTCCTGCCTTCAGTGGCTCAGAAGGGAGGGGGAGGTGCCCTTGGGGCCTAGCTGCCTTTCGTAGGTCAGTTGTTTGCCAGCTGAATCCATGTAGTCCCTGCTCCCTGTGACTCCAAGACCAGAGGTGCTGCCCTTCTGTCTCCTGGATAAAGCACAAAGCGATGTGGTAGTCATCGGCCAAGTCTGCCCCCAGGGGCTTCCATTCCTCAACCCCAGGATTAGGACATCTCCCTGGACAGGGGAGGCACTAGAGTGCCTGGTGTTGAGGGAAATAGGTCAGGGTGCAGTCATCAGGGTAGGAAGCAAGGTCAAGAGGATAGTTCCAGGCTCTACTACATCCACACCACATCCTGACCCATGGAGAAACATACGCCTTTTGCTGGCACAATTCTGCCCTCTGAAAAGCTGTTTCCAAGAAACCCCAAGAGGCCTCACCTGTGTTCTTGCTCTGAATAAAGGTGGGTAGAGTAAAAATTGTAGACCTTCCAACCTAAGTGACAGGTCGCTGTGTCCTGGCTGAGTCTTGGGCATCAAAGTCTTAAGGCATGCCTTGAGAGCCAGCAGCTCTGCCCCCCACTTGTGGTTCCTTTGCTTTCTCCCCAGGGGACCAACCCTGCTTCTGGATGCTGTGCTTACTTCCATCTTTAGCAGTCCAGAGTTGGGGATGGGCGTCTGGCTTCCCGAGAAGCACCTTAGCCCATCTTCAGGCGCCTAAAGAAGAGCCCTTTGTGTCCTATACTTACTAAGGTACAAAAACCATGTGAAGGAAGCACAGGTCCATGGAGAGGGCTCCTGGGTGGCAGTCACCTGGCTTCTCTTCCACTCCTACTCCTGCCACACAGCCTGGCCCTAGCACCTGTGAGTGTAGCATGTTTGGCCTGAGTACTTCATGCTTATGCAGACTGCTTCTCCCCCACAGTATGGCAAAACTATAAAAATGTATGCACTCCTGCCCAGAACTCCTGCTTTCCACCCATCAAGAGAAAGCACCCTGAAATCAGGGTTCTTTTGTTTTTTAATCCTATGACAACAGAGGCCAAGCTGGTCCCTCAAGAGTTGCCTCAACTCTAACAGGTCTCCTTCCCAAGGTCTGCTGCTCCAAGGTTTGGATCCATCCTTTGCCTTTCCTGTCTCCAAGCCCTTATGTAGGATGCTTCAGAACACAGGCAGTGAGCTGTCAACCCGTTTCTGTAAGGCGCTATGTTGAAGGAAAACTTCCCAGAGTGACAATTGGTGCCAAAGACATAGTTTCTGGTGAACTTGGAATAAGTGTGACTGGGATATGGCCCAGTGCCCAGAGGAGTTAACCACTGATGAGGTCTACCCCAGCCTGTCAGCCTGATGAACTGGCAGTCTTTCTGTCCTCGGTGGCCATACTTTCTCATCCAGCCTTGGCTCAGGCCAGCATCTCTGTATATAATACTGTGTAGTGTGTATATTTACTCCTGGACAAGGAAGCTCAGCTCTAGTCCTTGCCTGGGGACCAGGCTGAAGGTTGGGTGAAGAGCAGAATATTAATTAGGCTTTCCTCAACTTTTTGGGACCTTAGTCTAAGACTGCCCGACAATCAAGCAGGCACCCCACCATGAGGCCAGCTCTGGGCCTCTGCCCTTACCACAGTCCTGGGGGGAGGGAGGCTTGGTCTGAACCCCCCAGTCTCTACTCATCCTGGTGGGGGTCTCAGAGGGCACTAGTGGGACAACTGACCCCAAGGCCCTGTCTTCCCTGCACAGCCAGGCTGCACCCTGCCCCAGCACAGTAGGCAGAGGGGAGAACAGCAGCTTTTGGATTTACTGGTTTCTAAAGTGGTGCCTGTACCTCCAGCCCTCAGGGGGCCTTCCCTGGCCCCACCTTTCTGCCCCACCCAGGCATTGCCATCCCAGCACTTTGCTCCATGTCACCCAGATGCCCTTTGCCGAATGTATTGAGCACATGTATTTAAAAGGACTCATGGGCATCAGAGAATTTATGGTTCTGTATCCAATAAAAGATGAAACTGAAAAAAATTGGTCCATGGAAATATGTGGCATGCAGCTGTATTTTTGTCAGACACCAAACCCCTACCCTTTGCTTCTAAGAATTTCATGTAGCCCAGCCTGGCCTCAAACTCAGTATTGAAGACAGCCTTGAGCCTCTGTTCTTCCTATCTCCAGTTTTCTGGTATTAGGAAATACATGTGCACATTGTGTCCAGTTTGTGTGGTCCTGGTGATTGAACCCATTTTCTAATGCTAGGCAAGGACCCAATCAACCAACATCCTCAGGCCTCATTCCAGCTTTTTCTGCAGTTTAGGTCACTAAGGCAGGAAGAAGTCTGTTAGCCCAGTCAATGGGGCAAATGAAGAATTTAGGCACCGTCCTTAGGGCTGCAGACAATGCTGGAGAAAGGTCTGTGACTGCTCAAACCTGCTTTGGTGTCCAAATACATCAAGCCTCCAAGGTAAACCTAAATAGGCAGAACATAAGCAGTAGGGACTGTCCACCCACAGCAGCTTAGTCTCACTTCAGGAGGCTCTGGCAATGACTTAGATGTATGAGACCAAATTGCTACCATGGCCTGGCCTTAATTTCCCCATTTTAGAAAATGGGCTTTTCCTGATTTAATAGCACCTAATCTGTTTAAATTTAAACACATACAATCAGGTGCCTAGCTTAAACTGCATACTGTACAAGTAATCCTTGAGGGCTAGCTGTGCCAACCTGATCACAGGACGGATGTCACACTCCAGAGTGCACATCTGCCCAAAAATCCTATCCTACTTTAAGACCATCTAACCATGAGTTCAAAGCTCAAATTCACTTCCCAGTTTTAGAAGCAAGAACTTCAATTACTCAACACAACCCAGCTCTAATAGCCACTAGTTAGAGCTCTAGCTTGGGGCAGCTAGCAGAACAGAGGCACTGGTAGACCCTGCTAGGCTTCTATGCCAAACAGTTAACTACCCCTCATTACAAGAAAGGGATGGTGGCACAAGCCAGTCATTCCAGCTTACTCAGGAGACAAAGCAGATCAAGGCCAGCTTAGGCAACTTAGTGAAACCTTAACAGTTCAAAGACTGATCAACGCAAAGTGAAATAGGATTGGAAACATAGCTCAGTAGTAAGTAATAGGACTGGGAACATAGCTCAGTGCTTGTTTAGCAAACCTCATGAGGCCCTGGGTTCAATCCACCCTGACATTCTTCCCAGAGCCCTCACTTAAAATATTATAAGAGGAAGCATGCATAAGCTCAGAGAACATAGTCCACCTGCTGTGATGGAAGCAACGCTGCTGTGTGCAGTGCATGAGCTAGGACTAAAGATGGTAACAGGAGGAAAGGAAGCCACCATACATCTTAGCTACTACTCAGAAGTACAACTACACTGAGACTTCAGCAGGCCAGAAGAACGATTTACTTCTACTTCAGCAAGTATACACACAGTTCATTTTGAGAGGCAAGAGGATGTTTATGAGAAAAACTGACCAAATAATCTTAAGTTTTATTTAAATACCCTCCAGTGAGAACACATCAGACGAATCAACCATTTCCTCACCACCAATTCACCTCCCAGGGAGGTGTACAAACTGCCTCTCAATGGAGGCGTCCTTGGCCTCGACCCCGGCCAGCCGGTGGGGGAGCATCCACAGTGGAGCGGGGGTTCTTGATAGTCTCATCCACGGATACAATCAGGCATGCAGCCTCAGAAGCTGCTGTCAGGGCGTTGATGCGCACCATGGCCGGCTCCCACACAAAGGCCTGGAAGTTGTCGGCGATGTCCTCATTGTTGACGTCTACCCCATACCACATGCCCCCCTGAAAGAGAGGGGATGCACTTTGGAACTACTTTCACTTCTTCCTGCACACGTTCCAAAGGACTCAGCTGTCAGGAATTTTGAATTGATGGCACTTTCCCGAGGAAAATGACACCATTTCCCACCTGCTTCCAACTCTGGGCATGCTGACCACAAGTACCCAAGCCCTCCCAGGAAGCTGCACTGTGCCAGGAGGGAGCCGTTCACTGTACCTGGCAGTGATTGCAATCCCAGAGAGCACATATCTAAGAGGCTACCCTCAACCATCCAATCCCTGGACTCCAAAGAGAGCAGAGAATCAATCACCTGTGCATGCCGAGCCCGCAGCTTGTTAAGGATGTTCGTGGCATCAAAGCCAGCGTTGTCACATAGCTGTCGAGGAATAATTTCCAGGGCCTTGGCATATGCCCCAATCAACAGCTGCTGTTTTCCTGGAATGGTCCTTGAGTAATCCCGCAGATATTTGGAGAGCTCCATCTCGATGGCTCCACCACCAGCCACCACAGAGTCATTCTGCAGAAACCAAATAGCTTACAATGTAGTGGCCCAGCTCCAAGCTTCAAGTTGGGACACACAGCAAATCCTCCAGCCCAGGAAGTGGCCAAAAAATGGGCTTATATCCCCATTCCCAAACCCCAGGTGCCTAAACGCAGTCAGCATCCAGCACAGCCCAGCTTCAACTTTAGGAATTGAAAGGTCACTGCCAAGGTCAACCATAGTTGGGGCATGGCAACTTCAAGAGGACAGCTGAATAGATCAGCCCCACTTAACTAAATCATGGCCGATGCTGATCAGTGGTGGCACGTGCCTTAATTCCAACATTCAGGAGGCAGAGGTGGACGGGTCTCTGTGAGTTTGACGTCAACCTGGTCTATAGTGCAAGTTCCTGGACAGCCAGGACCACAAAGAATTCTGTCTTGAAAAACAAAAACCAAAACAACCCCTCCCCCACCAACACAAACAAAAATAACCAAAAGCCAGCATGGCCTATATGTGAGGCTGAAGTTATTTCTCTATGATTCATGGGACAAATGAGAACTTAGTCTCTCTTGTGGTTTGCAGGGGGAAATCAAAGCCCAACATGACACCTAAGGACAGGTTACACGAAACCCAAGATCTTATCAGCCCCAGAGTTACGGGCAAGAGGCGTCATCCAGTACCTTGATGGCCCTCCTCACGATCATGATAGCATCATGCAGGGACCGTTCTGTCTCTTCCATAAACTGCTCAGCGCCACCACGGAGGATGATGGTACATGTCTTGGCCTTAGGGCAGCCAGTGAAGAAATTATACCTATGTCCAGGATGCAATGGTGCACACATGAATTGCTGTCACCTTGCTATCTGATCTCCATGCCAAGTCCTTTCAGAAGAGAGCAGTTGACTCAGGCTGTCAATCCTAACTTTGAAGGTATTTTTTGAGGCAGGACTGGAGTAGAAGCACCAACGCTTGTGGAATCAGATCTAGAATCTGACTATAACTACTTCCCTTCTCTAACGCTATACCTGAGTTCTTTACCCACCCCTCCACCCAACAGCACCTTGAAAAAGTAACAGTACAGGCCATACCCCACACCCAGAAAGAACTTGACAAAAAAAAAAAAAAAAAAGGGTTGGGCAGACCCAAGCAGTTCTTGGGAGCTGAGCCCATAGGCTCACCTCTCGCCTCCAATTTGGGTCTCTTCAAACACCTGGCAGTGGCCCAGCACATCTGGCACCAAAGCATTCACACTGGTCTGGATTGAGCCTCCACAGGCCTGAGGAGCAAGAAAAATCCATGAGGGTAATTGGCCTATCACCATTCAACAAGTCTCTTCCCATGCTGAATCTGTTACAGAACCTTAGAGTCCACCATTAATTACCCTGACTTCTAGATGATCCCTACTCCCTCTCAAATAGACGAAATCAAAACAGAGCCAGACACACAAAGGCAAAAGGGTCTATTAGTGCAAAGAGATAGAAACCCGATGTCTAGTACTCTGGGTTCAGCAACTCTACCCAGGAGCAGTTCTTTGGACGACAGCCTGCACCAAGAGGGAAAGTCCTGGCTGGAAGCAGTACCCACTGAGCCTGACCTGCTGAGCACAGTGCTGCTGCTATGTGGCACCTACCTCCCAACTGTCTTGGTCAGTGAATTCAAAGCAGTTTCTATTGCTGGGTATACAGACACTGGGATGGATCATTTCTTGACAGCTAACGCAGGGACAACCTGACAGTCTAGTACATCAGGGACAGCGGAAACAGCTCAGGGCCATGAAGGATAAGCAGTAGCCCATGAAGTTTTGCTTACCATCATTGTTCTCTTCAGATCCTCCTCAGGCACACGGCCAGCACAGAACATGTCCCTATCAGCAAAGTACTGGGTGGCCACATCCCCAATGGGGAGTTTGGACAAGATGACTTTGGCTCCAGACTGATGGATCTTCTCTAACTTGTCATAGAGAATGTTCCATTCAGCATCAACAATTGCCTGGTAATCCTAGAGACCACAAAAAAGATGAGGGTGTTTGGGGATGAAAGTGCACATGACAGTCTAAGGCTAACCTAACTCTCCCCCACAGAAAACATGCTGACCTGTCTGGGAATTAAGAGCGGACAACAGTTTAAACTGGTCCTACATTAGGACCATTAAAAGAACCACTTAACACTTTCAAACAGAAACATAGGAGGGACTTTGTGTAGGGATTTCCCAGTTAGACTTCTCCTACCAAAGAGGCTATTTTGTGCTGGAAAACACTGCTACCTAAAGTCAGCCTTGGGAACCACAAGTTATGAGACTCAGTCTATAAGGAAAGGAGGCCTGTCTAATCAAGGAGAATCACAGGCAAGCTTGTCATCCCAGCTACTCAGGATTGAGGTAGGAAGATTACAAATTCAAGGCCAGCCCGAGACTTAACAAGACTTGTCCAAAATAAAAATTTAAAAAACATCAGGCAAGTCTGTTGTAGTGGTATATACCTTTAATCCCAGTACTAGTGAGGGAGAGGCAGGCAGTTATTGTGAGGCCAGCCTAAGTTCACATAGTGAACTACAGAGTGAGACCCTGTCCTCTTCAAAAAAGGGGGGTCTGGGGGTGGTGTCTACAAGACAGCCAGGGCCACACAGAGGAATGTTATCTTAGAAACAAAAGTTAAAGCCGGGCAGCGATGGTAGTGCAAGCTTTTAATCCCAGCACTCAGGGAGGCAGAGGCAGGCGGATCTCTGTGAGTTTGAGGCCAGCCTGGTCTACA